AAAATGTATGAATGCATGGCCCTTGAGGGCTTCCGTACAAATGTATTATTTTAGGCTGTATTTTATTTGTTATATATTAATAATCTGCGGAAAACAACATTTTAAACACGTTTCATTGACAGGGCGCATACAGTGACAGCTGAAGATGGCGGCCGGTCACTGAATCTCACGGTCACACTTTCACCTGTAACACCTGTGGAGCCACGTTACCATCGTTACCTTCAGATTGTGACCGTTTAATGCGGAGACTGAGCGCAAACACGGAGCGATGGAAGGCCAGCACGGACAGTTAAAAGGTTAATCGTTTATCTGACGTGTTAACATTCACAGTTTGAGGAGGAAAAGTCTTTTAAAGTCGTTTTAATCAGCAGATACATGATGAGTTGTTAGCATTCGTTAGCTATCAGTTATCTCTGTGCCACAGTAACTTCAGCTGCTTTAGTTTCATTTAAAGCTCCGTAAGTTGCTGTTTACTGCCGCACTGTTGTGTGTACACACACGTGGCTTCATACAGGATTTATTATACAAAGTACAGTAAAATACAAGTTCATTTTAGCTTCACTGCTAGCTGTGCTGGAGTGAACAGAGATATTAACTGTAAATGAACACTAATGTAAGATTACAGTCACACATCATGCCTTTGTTTTATTCAGTGTCTTTATAAAGATCGTTTTTGTTGCTTTTAAATGTGCTTTAAATAAAATTGACATTGAGGACAAGACCGAAGTAAAATGTCCGATAATGGACGCATGAGGGATTTAAAAACTAGTGGCTCAATAATGAACCCATTTGTGACTTTATTAAGTTAATGAGGATACATACCATAACATTTGCTCTGGTTGCTGTAAAGTGTTGAAGTTTGGTACCAACATACTCTGGGCGAATATCTAACTGTACAACTTTGACTTTTTTAAATAACATCAGTGGTCAAAGTCATGATTTTACAAAAATGAGGACAAACGCTTACATTGTGCTTATTAAATGTTTTCCATATGAAAAATGTTTTTGACATTAAAAATGCGTCCATATCTATCATAATTGTTGAAAATGGGCTTCCATAGATACAGTTTCTTATCACACTAGATTTATTATTTGGGCACATTGGACAGTTTTTTCCCCCTAAAATGGTATAAAAATGCCCCAAATAAGGAATAAAAATTGAGGGTTTTTTATTATTTTTGGTTCACACATGCAACAGGCTCCTATCTATATACTCCATATAAATAAAAGTTGCACATTATTATATATTACAGGGCATTCTCCATTAGTTTGAATGGGTTTTAATAACAGCTTTGATAGCGAAGGATAGTTAACTCTACTAATAACATTTTAAATTTAAAGTATCTTTCCACTTGTGAGACTTTGTTCCATAAAACATGTTTGTATTGTATTGGGGCAGTGGAAGACTTTTCATTAGTCAAACAGAAAGGGACAGTTGTTTAGTTTTTTGGCCCTCTGCATGTCATTATGGATATATATAGATGGATTAAAGGCAATAAAACCTTCTAGTAGTTTATGTCTAACAGTACAAACCCCAAACATATTCAGTTTGCCATCAAATAAGGCAAAAGAAAGCAACAAATTATCGAATTATGCGGATAAATTTTTTGTTATTGACTAATTGTTTCAGCTCCACACTAGTTTCTGTACTTTTCTGTCAGCAAAACAAACTATTATTTTGAGGGCTTCCTCGTATTTTCGGATAGAAAAATGTCTGAATGTCGAGGTTCACTGCCATCCTCTCTGTTTCAGGAGCGAGTCAAGCCGAGCGCTTTTTCCTGCGAGCCAAAGTGGCTCAGGCGGTGGCCGTAATAAAGAGCAAGCCCTCGGATTTGAGCGGCAGAGAGTACGCCGAAGTGTTGGCCACCAAGCTGAAGATCCAGGACGAAGGCTGGAAGAAAAAGGCCCAGGAGCTGCAGCAGGAGGTACTGAGGCTGCGGCAGGAGTTACTGATGGCCACAGCGACGTCCATCACGAAGAGCACAGCGGCAGCAGGTACGAGGATCCACTCACATCCTAAAACCACACTGAAGTATCATCTGGGAAGTGTGCTTATATGATATGATTGTTCTGACCTGTGCATTAACGTAAAAGTAGTTTACGTTAGTTGTAGTTGGAGCTCATTTTCAACTATTTTGTGTCTTTCAAAGTGATTCATCCGAGCCAGGAAAAAATACTTTACAATACTAATAAATACTAATACATGAAGCTTTAAAGCTGCTGGTTGACCCGCTCAGTGTGTATTAGAGCTTTAATTCTCTGCCTGAACCTGCTGCTGTAATTAAAGCTGTATTAAAAACTATATATTTAATATTTTATTAATATACATACAACTGTAATTAGTTCAGTGAATCTGTTATTTATTAGTTTGGATAATAATGTCCACTATATTATATACACATTGTTGTTTACGTTAGCCTGTAATAAACTAAATTATTACAATTGTGGGACAAAAACACAACAATATTAACAATATGTGCAGACAGGAAGCAGAGCCTTGTTTCACCGCACCGAATATATGATTAATCAATAATTCTATAAAATGTCAGAAAGTGAAAACTCTTAGTCTAGTTTATAGTTACATAAATTGTTGAAAAAGCAGATTAGAGTTTCTAAGAACGTATAAATGTTCCTGATAATGGTTTCAGAGAGCTGTTATCTAAACATAAAGAAGTTCATGACATGATGAATACAGCACGAATACATTAATGTTCACATTATGATGACAACAACCTGGATCAGTTCTGAAATAGGCAGTAATTATATTTTCTCGTTACAGCTGGATAATATAACAGCAGCTGTCAGTATGACACAATGCAATTCAACAGCCTCCTTAACAATCTGATTCTAGTCAAAAGTTATTGTTCATCCATCCTCTGGAAGCCCTCGGGCTCTAGTTTGTGTACAGTTTGATTGTCACACAATGATGAGTGACACAAGTCTCAGCTTCCAGTTGGACCCAATTTATGCAATTCCAACACTGTTTATGGAAATACTCAAGTACACTCGGAGAAAATAACACATTTATACAGCAAAAAACTGTATGAGATGAGCATAAAGTGGGCTGACTCGTGACCACAGACCACATGTATGTACAGATATCTTGAGGTCAGAGGTGAAAGGATCTGTTTGAAAATGCCAGTTATTCTATCGTCAAAGTGTAGCCTCACTTGTTGGTACCAATAGAAGCCTTAGGTCTTCTAGTTTAATATGACTCCAGTATCTTCTCTCCACAATGAACCACTACGACCTCTGAAAGACACTAACGTCGACATGTTTGTCAGCGCGGAGTTAAAGAGCTTACTGTAACACGTCGCCCTTCTGATTCCAGCGCCAGTGCCTCTGACCTAATGTCAAATTTACTTTAGATATTTAATTATAGTATTGAATTGGTTCTTCCATCCGTTTTCTGCTGCTTGTGCAGCTCCAGGGTGTGATTTAATGATTCATTAATGATATTATAAGGAATTATTGTTATATACAGCTGGGAAGTACTGATATAAATGTTATTTAAATGTCAGTAAATTCATCATAACTTGAGGCCATAATGTCCCGACGGCTTTTCATTGATTTCTTTCATACTCTGGCCGGTATGACAGAAAATGCTATTAAATTAAAATGTCTTTATATCTAAGTTTGTGCTGAAAGGTGACTTGCAGAGTGCAGATAATATGAAGAGTTCACTTTATGCTCAATATGTATTTGTTCTTTTGTCCTCTATGTCTCTACTGTTTAAAGGTTCCTCTCTCACCTATTGTTCATTTCCCTTTTCCCAGTGAAGAACCTGCTACTGGCTAGTTGTTGCCAAGTATCCTGACTGGTTTAAATGATGTTATAATCCATAGGGGTTGCACTGTAGAGAATAAGTCATATAGAAACAACACTCGCTCTGTATAAAACACACACACAGTTATAAATAGTGTCAAGGAAAACACTCGTTCTCCTAAATCTGAAAGCTCAAGGGCCGAGGGGAGACATTTAGGGCCGCAGCCTGTGAAAATGATATAAACCAAGGTCCACCTGCTCATTTATGTTTATTCAGGTATGAGTTGCAACCCCTACAGTGAGGTTGTCACGATAACAGAATTTTAAACTTCTTATAACTTTAAAAAACAATACTCGATACCAAAAAGAGTCCCAGGAACACAAAATAAGAGATATTTTTTGTATTAAGCTACACACTGTGCCGGTACACATTTAGATACTACCCAGTGACAGCTGAATGGTTTTAAACATACGGTATCGAAAAATAATCGCTATGTTTGACAACCTTTCCCTTTAGCCTTGATTTTGTTGTCATTTTAGAGACTTAAAATACAACCAAGTATCACAGTGTACCTTAAAGGTACCTTAAACAAACTTATTTTACCTCCCAGTTCATAAATCACACTTCATGACCAATATACCTTTACATAGCAAATAGTTGTTTAATGCTATACTAATGTGTTAAATATCACATGTAAAAAAGAGAAAAACACTTATTTACCTTCACATCCAATCGCATTTACACTGGATTATCATCATGCATATTAGTGTGAAAATACAGTAGAGTGTGTATTTATTCAGCACTGATGTACAGAAGCAAAAACTATTTACTTAAAAACTATAATTTAGTACAATTTGATGTTTATGATATTATGTGGGAAGAAGAATATTCTGTATTAGAATAGAACCACAGCAGGACTCAGACAGACACTGAAACATAAACACTGGTTTATGAGATACCACCGGCGCCCTCAGTCTGTCCTCATGACCACAGGGATCATATTGGAGAAACCTGTAATTATGTCCTTTAATGATCATAGATTAATCATAGGATTATCAATATGAATGATATTTTGTATGATAATGAGTCTTCTGCCAGTTCTGAATAACTTTTGTCAATTTTACATTAACATAAAAAGCCCTTTAATGAATGTGGTCGTCTCTGATCTGCTTTATCTGACCTTCACTTACCTTTCGAGAAGATGACAGGTGTGGTTTGTAACTGTGCTCATAGACATTTTTTATACTTCTTTTCATTTCTTTTCAACAAATATTGTACAGTACGGTCACATATTCAGAGACACAGCACATAATGGCTTTAGGGTGCCGTCTGCGGGTTTTGACATCCTCCGAACGTAGTTCCTATGAACAGAGATATGAAGTCACTGGGCCCATTCAGAGCCTGTTTACAGCAGTGGTCTGGGACACATTTGACTACATATCTTTTGTAATGCAAACACTGATGATTCCTAGGACACATTGAATGACAGCCCACTCACTGAGGTACTCTAACAACACAGGGACATGCCGTCTTATTGGTTCACTGTAATGTAAATGATGTGTTTGAGCTCTTTTACCTGCAGAGATCAGCAGCAGATGTTTGTGAACACACTGAACTAGTAACCACAATATCACCAGACTCCCTGAAAAAAATTCACAGTTTTAGAGTTATTGAGTGAGGAGACACTTTATAAACTTTGTGAAACTTTATCTATGACAGATTATAAACAGTTTGGACCTTCTTGTAAATTCGAGAACCGTTCCACCGCACTGACAGCACAGGTAGACAAAGGAGAGTAATAATGGACGTAGACTGACAACTTCCTGAGTATGGTACAGCCATATAAAAGTGTTTATTTGCATATGGAGCGGGGAGATCTGGTCACTGGAGATGCATTCAAATACCAGCTGTAACCTGACGTATTTAAAGCTGTCCACTTGTGATTGGATCATCCTAGACACATGTTAATACCAGCTGTAAACAGGCTCTTAGTCAGTATCAATGCAGTCATGTCCTTCTCTCACCATTGTATTAACGTGGGGGTCTGCGGCCTCAGCCAGGAGACTGTGATTGTTGCCTTAACAAGGAAATATTTCTAATGTGAAGAAAGTTGGCTTTAAGGGCAGTTCTATATCTGTGTTGGAGGGGTTATGGTCTGATCGGAAGTGTCACCAGATTTTAATATGACAAGAGGAGTCCTGAAAAATCTTAACTTTCCATTCGAATTTCTTCCTTCCAATATTTGTTTTTTTTTATGTCCTTGTCTGTGTGATAGTTCCCAGTTTTTATCTGAAATGATCGCGTTTCCTCTCCAGTTCCCATGTTCCCTTCATATCCAAGCTGTTGGTTTATTAAGTTTTCTGATCAGAGACATTTTCAAGTGTTCACTGAATTTGTAGAGAGATCACATTGTCATGGCGACACATTTCTCCATCTGTGACCCTTAATTTTATTGATTCCCAGCGTGTTCTGTGTCACAAATGTGACATTTCACAGACAGAAAATAGAAAAAAAAGAGTTAGGAA